AGGTGGGGACCTATGTCTTGTTTGCTGGCCGAGATGATAGGAGGAACCTCATACCCTATCCCCTCTGATCTCTTGCCAGTCCATTTTGCCCCAAATCTTGGGGGCTTCCCCAAATGTAAATTCTGACAATGTCCTCTCACTACATAAAACCCTTCTGTGATCCCACATTTAGGGTCACCAGAGAAAAATACAGGAAGCCCAGTTTAAAACTGAAATCTCAGATAGATCATGGACAAAGCCTTAGTATAGAAATGTCCCAGATACGACGTGCATTTACTTGTACTAAAAAAAGATCTGTTGTTTATCTGAAATTCAAATTGAACAGGACACCCTGTATTTTTATTTGCTCAATCTGGAGTCCTATGTACATCACTCTTGGGGATGGGGTTGGGGGTTAGAGTCTTTATCTGGCCCACAAGGCCTGTTTAGGCCCCGAGCTCATACCTCCCCTCTCTTACACGTGGCATCTCCACTTCAGGCAAAACTCTCCGCCTTTGCTTGAGAATTTCAAGCTGGCCTTCCTGTGACCACTGCAGTTATTGGTACCTTCTACCCCTCCCAGTGCGTAGCCCGACTCATTGTTCAGGTCTCGGAAGCATTGTCACTTCTCCCTTGTGCCAATTAAGAGTGTCAGTTTGGCTCGGGAGCTGTCTAGAGGATCAGTAAAGCATACTTGTAGGTGTGTCTGGGTGGGTCACAGAAATGTGACCTTAGGCACTGTATGTGGTCTCTGGCCCTTTCCTCTCTAGCACTGTTTCCCTTCTCTACTTCCCTGAGGCCATGAACTGTTACCCCACACCCTTCTGCCATGATGTTCCTGCCTTGCTGTCAGCTAACCATGGACTGAATCCTCTGAAACCATGAGCCAGGTAACCCCCTCCCTCTTTAAGCAGTCGGTATCAGGTAATTTGCCCCAGCAACAGGAAAGCTGACTAATAAACTCCTCGAATCCTCCATAGCCCTCCGGGTCTTCTCTGGATCCCTGAAGTACCTTTGGTGGTCTACCTGTCTGTCCTGTTTACTTGATGCAGAGTAAGGGGTTCAGCAAAATGTTCATTATATCGAATTGTTAAATTCCAAAGCCTCAGATACTTCCCCTATGAAGTCTCCCTTCCTTTAGTCAAACCTATGTGCTCCTCATGGCCCTGTGGGAATCTCATCTCTTCTAGGCCTTCCCTGGGTTGCCAAAATCCTCCCATTCTTTCCTTTTGAGACTTACCTGGTATGTCTTGGTCACCATGCAGGGCCCAAGCAATTTTTTTTTTAATCTCATAAGCTCAGCAATTCTGACTCTCCTCCAGTGGCCTGCAGTGAGTGCTAAGCACTGTGCCTTCTTGCCAGATGGTGCTCAACAGACACTGGTGAGCTTGTAGGATGACAAACAGATTCTGTGTGTGATTCTCTTCCCACCCAGGGGCTGGTACTCAAACCCTAGAACCTGATCTTCATGTATCCTCTATGCCTATACATCCTCTTGTATCCTATATGACTACAAAGGGTGTAGGGCAGCAGCCTCCTTTCCTATTTTACAGAGTAGGAAACCAAGGAAGTGAAAGAACTCATTGCTCAAGGCTCAGGCCTCGGCTTCCATCTTATCTCAGCTTTTCACCTGCTATTCCCCTGCCTGGAACATTCTTCCCAAAGATATTTGTGTGGCTCACGTGGCAGATTAAAGAGGGCCACAAATATTTTGTTGCTCCTTTCATCAGAGGGGGCATCTCTCGCTCTACCTACTGAATCCAATCTGACCTTGTAACTTGTTTTAACAGCAGTGTAGAAGTGATCCTTTATGAGTTTGGGATTTGGGCCTTTGGAGGCCTTGCAGGCTTTTGCCTCCATCCAGGTGGGAAGATACTTCTAAATCCTTCCATCAGGCAACCAGTGTAACCAACTGAAAGATTAGAAGCCATGTGACAGGAGCTGAAGTACCCCTGCCAACAGCCATCATCAGCTACCAAACATATAAACAGAGCCTTCTTGCACCTTCACCGTGCCTCCAGCTGAACGTGACCAGGAGAAACAGGAATCACCCAGGCTGACCACAGATCCACGAGCTGTGATCATGGTTATTGTTAGGCACTAAGTTTAGGGGTACGTTAACAGCCGTAGATAACTGATACAAGGGCCTCCTTGTTCAAGCGTCTGCTCAGACGTCACCTCCTCAGAGAGCCCTTTCCTGACAATCCTAGCTAAAACAGCACCTCTCCACCACATCCATCCCCACCCCTCCACCAGGCTGCTCTGTCTATCCCATTATCCTGTTTCATCCTGTCACAAGGCTTTTATCACCAGCTGAAATCATGATTGATTCACTTATGGGTCTGTTTGTTCTCCTCCTCCACTGAGCTGCAGTTTTCACAAGGCGGGGGCCATAATGTTTTTTTTCCCTCCTCCACCTCCTTCATGTGTCGGTGGGCGTCTTGGTGTCCACACTGGGAAGATGCCTCCAACTGTTTTTGGTGGAGAAACTGTGTGCTTGGCCCTTTCATGCTTAGGGGAGAAGAGTGGCAGGTGTGAGCTCTTGCCAGATTGTCTTCTCCAAAACCAGTGCCCTTGGGAGGACAAGAGGGTGGCCAGGCGATCAGGCTGTGTTTGGGCCAAGAGCTGCAGGGATCCCAAGATGAGCAAGAAGGAAAGGCTACTGACAAAATGTTCATTTTCAGCAGGGTCTCAGATTCAGATAAAGGAAGGCACTGGGGCTTCTTTCCACACCAATAACAAGCAGCCCAGCCGCACTCTCCTGCAATGTCATAATGCTGAGAAACTGGGTAATGGGAGAGAGTTGAGGACGTTGAGTCATTCCCCGAGGCTATTTCCAGGTCCCTAGCAAGAAGCTAGTCCTCAGAAGCAGTCCCCTGCTTTTTATTTCAGTGCCTATAAATTGATCCAGCCATAGCCTCAACTGAGGAAAACATGAGCTTTAAAAAGCAAAAGGTTCAGTTCTAGATGCCCCTTGGAGCTACCATTCTCCATTCTTGTGAAGAAGAGAGGGCCTCACTGTGGTGCAAGTCAGGTGGCTTGAGTTCTGGCTTCACTGCTGTGTGACCTTGGGCACACTGCCCAACCTTCCTGAGCACTGGTTTCTATAGCTACCAACATAGACAATGATCTGGGTGTGGTGGCAGCGGCCTGTGATCCCAGTACTCCAGAAGCTGAGGCAGGAGGATGGCCACGAGTCTGAGGCCAGCCTGGGCTAGTAGTGAATTCAAGGCCAGCCTGAGCTACATAGCAAGACCCCATATCAAACAAAACAGAATAACACAAACAAGCAAACAAAAAACCCATAGACAGGGAAGACCTAACATGTAAAAGCTATAGATGACAATTCAGCAAGATCATGTGTGCCCGCCACAGTGTCAAGCACAGGGAAACAGTTAAACCGATCGTAATTAAAGTTGTTTATTTCTTTACCTGTTGGTGTATGGGCAAGCAGAGGGTAGGTTTTATAGTTAAACATGGACACTTTCCGTGGAGCAGGCCCACGTTTAGGGTTGCCTAAGGATCGGGGTTAGAGTGCAAAATTCTTGAACCACATCCGAGTCTTCCCAACTATCATCTTTCTTTCTCACTGTGGTACTGGGGATGAATCCAGGGTCTCAAATAAGCTAGGCAAAAGCTCTATCATCAGCCTCCTATGCTTGCAGCCCTTCAGTCCCTAACCCTAACGGGCCTCTCTAACCGATGAGAGGGTCCCTCATATGGATAACAGTGTGTAGTAGTAGCCTGAACGAGATTTCAGAAGGGTTGGAGGCCCAACTTTGGCACTAACACGTTGTGTGACATGGAACAGATCCCTGCCTCTCTCTGAGCTTCACCTCCCCATCTGTAAAATGGGTCACTGATTCCTGAGTTATAAAGCCGCTAGGTTTGTTGAGATGATCAGATAACTTAGATGGAGGAATGCTATAAATAACATTATCTGCCTATGAATAAAAGGGTGTTGATACTAAAACAAAGGGACTCCTGCATTCTTGAGTGAGGACTCTAAAGCCTGCAAACCAGGCAATAAAATATGAGTTCAAATCCTGGTTTGCAACTTGCATGACTTTGCAAATAACCTTTGGCATTGCCAGAAGTTGGGTTTTTCTTCTACAGGAGATAGGAGCCCTGGGGTAAAAGAAGGGCTGGGTCGGTGCTGCAATATTAGGACAGACAAGATGCAGAGGGGTCTGTCAACCTCCCCAAAGCCCTAAACAACCAGGGAAAATTCCCCATCTGCCTGTGTGTTTAAAGGGACAACCTGTTCCCCTTTCCATTCCCTGCAAGCGGCCCTCTGCATCTCAGCCCACCCCAGGTAGATGGTGACTCAAGTCATTCTGCAGAGACTGGTCCCTCTGCCTCTGTTGCCATGGCACTGCAGCACAGACTGACCAATCAGGAAGGAGACACACATCTGAGCCTCTGTTGCTAAAGCCAAAGCAAGATGTCTTAGCCAATGGGAAGGATGGCAGAGTGGAGCCACCATGGAAACCTCAGCATCGAATTCAAACCATGTTTTTCTCTCCATGTCTCATTTGTAGTAGGTAGGTTGGGTTTTCTTGCACACACACACACACACACACACACACCCGCCCTCTTTTTTTTTTTTTTTTTTTTTTTTTTTTTTTTTTTTTTTT